TTTTTTAAATATCAAAAATAGGACCTGAATAGTAGAAATCACTTGCTCAATTTTTTTCTCAAGCCTCCCCTTGCCCGATTTTGTTTTCAGCAGTTTTTGCTATGCGGGAATTTCTCTCTTTTTCGGAAATTGCCCAGCCCCCGACCCCCTCAAAAAATAATGGTCCGCCGGCGAAGAGGGAGAGTCAGCTCTGCTGACGTAAAGTGGTCTCGGTTGAGGAACTGGGGTGGAAGTCCAGTAATGCTGACATTGCACAAGTAAACACACTGAGGAGACTCCGCTGATGAATCTTAGCTTTAAGTAACTTTATTTTTACTTGTTCTTGCGTATCTACAGTAGTCACAATAAAGACAGGGCTAGCGATTATTAACACAAATTATTATACAACTTAACTCGTCCAAGGCCGTCTCCCTTAACGAATGAGGACGTTAATAGGCCATTTTCGAGTTGCCTTGTGCCTCTGTTTCAAAACGAGCAAACCTTTTTTATGAAGTTTGATTTGCATGAAAATGAACCTGTAGGCTGAACTCGTTTCCATATGAATGCTTCCGCACGAAGACTGGTTTTGGCACAGTGGCCCAAGCCAACTCGGAAATGGCCTATTATACGGGTATAAAGAAACTCAATCATTCCACAGGCGTGTGAGGACGAGTCTATTACAACTTACCAGCTAAATAACTCAACAATGTACAAGATGTTACAAGAGCGGCTAGTAAATGATAAAGCTTACAATATGTAAGGAAGGCAGATGTGACTTGAAATCCGCGTTTTCTAACGTTTATTTACAATAAATCTCTACATACATTTTGTGGGCGAAGCTAAAGCTTACAGACAGGAAATTGGAAGCATCANTTTTTTAAATATCAAAAATAGGACCTGAATAGTAGAAATCACTTGCTCAATTTTTTTCTCAAGCCTCCCCTTGCCCGATTTTGTTTTCAGCAGTTTTTGCTATGCGGGAATTTCTCTCTTTTTCGGAAATTGCCCAGCCCCCGACCCCCTCAAAAAATAATGGTCCGCCGGCGAAGAGGGAGAGTCAGCTCTGCTGACGTAAAGTGGTCTCGGTTGAGGAACTGGGGTGGAAGTCCAGTAATGCTGACATTGCACAAGTAAACACACTGAGGAGACTCCGCTGATGAATCTTAGCTTTAAGTAACTTTATTTTTACTTGTTCTTGCGTATCTACAGTAGTCACAATAAAGACAGGGCTAGCGATTATTAACACAAATTATTATACAACTTAACTCGTCCAAGGCCGTCTCCCTTAACGAATGAGGACGTTAATGGGCCATTTCCGAGTTGTCTTGTGCCTATGTTTCAAAACGAGTCTTCGAGCAAACCTTTTTTATGAAGTTTGATTTGTATGAAAATGAACCTGTAGGCGGAACTCGTTTTCATATGAATGCTTCGGCACGAAGACTCGTTTTGGCACAGTGGCCTAAGCCAACTCGGAAATCACCTATTATCCGTGTATAAAGAAACTCAATCATTCCACAGGCGTGTGAGGACGAGTCTATTACAACTTACCAGCTAATAAATCAACAATGTACAAGATGCTACAAGAGCGGCTAGTAAATGACAAAGCTTACAATATGTAAGGAAGGCAGATGCGACTTGAAATCCGCGTTTTCTAATGTTTATTTACAATAAATCTCTACATACATTTTGTGGGCGAAGCTAAAGCTTACAGACAGGAAATTGGAAGCATCAAATCGTATTCCATGCGAATAGATTTGGGCCACAAAAGAGCCAATATTGCTGAGGATCATGTTGCAAAATTGCAGAGCTCGATATTTTTGGCCGCAAATAATCGACTTTCTACAAAGGATAAAGTCACTAACATAATGCAACTCGCAAGACATGCTACAGTATAC